CCCCCCCCCCCCCCCCCCAGAGCTCTTCCTGAAACTTGTAAACGGAGAATGGGCTCTGAACACTCACCTGAGTCCCCGTCTTTCTGCCTTCCAGATAGGCAGCTGTGTCATTTCACATGTTCCCCCCGCTCCTACTCAGTGACGCTGCAAGGCATTCTGACTGGATCCCTGAGGGAAACGCTGCTCTCAGTTTTCACCTGTTTTCTGCATTTGGCTTCCATGCAAAGAATAACCTCTGCCTCCAGCCAGCAGGGAAGCACTTCTGATTAACCTGTGTTGCTGTCCCTAGGGCACTTTGTGCCTCCAGAGATTGCAGTGGCAAAAACCACCAGGTACTAAATGAATGTGCCCCTCTTCCTTCAAGTGTCTGCATAACCAGGGCCCCTGAGATGGTCCTGTTTGGGTGGCAGAGTGGGGTAAAAAAATGATAGGGAGCTCTTGCTGCCTCTAAAGGTCTCTGTTCTCACGTGAACAGCACGCTGCTCCCCTTGTGACACAGCACAGCTGTGCCATGTGTGTCAGATCAAGTCCACAACTGCTGCCCACCCTCTACCAACATGACAGTGGGGGACCACTCTGAGGGGCCAGCAGATATACTTCCCTTATGTCTGAATCTCTGGAAATGCTGCTCCCATCCCAGCAACCACCCAAACTGTGATCCCTCTGTGTAGCAAGGAAGTGTGCCTGCAGTTCCACAGTGCTGGTTTGGCTGAAGGGCTTAGCAGTTGGCACCTGAAGTGTGGCTTGCAGCAAACTCACTCCATCAGGCCCAGTGGCAGGACCAAGTCTTGAGAAATCTGGCTTCCAGAGGAGCCCCTAGTCCCTTCTTCCAGGAGGTTCTTTAATCAATCTAATTATCAGTCTTCAAAAACTGGTGGCACTAGCTTGTGGAAGTGGGGGTGTTCAAGGTGGGCTGGCAGCTTCATCGTCCACACACTGGGAAGTGATAGTGCCTTAGGAGCAGAGATGACGCTCCTACAAGACTGAACACAGAGATGGGGATGCTTCATACACCATAGTGCAGCAGCCATGGTGCACAGTCATCCTAATGCAAGATGAGTGGGGAGAGCTCGAGTCACCATGCTAGGGATTATGGGGCATTGTGTTAGTTTCCTAGGTTAGTCACTGCTGGGCACATATATAGCAGACTGGACTTGACTGATCAGTGATCTACTGTGCCCTAGCCAGTGTGACATGCACACTGTAATAACATTTAGCACTTCTACAGCAGCTTCCATTAGGGTGTACACAAGTATGTCACACTAATGAATTATGCGTTGGCTTGGTGTCACTATCTGTTTTACAGATGAGCAAACCAAAGCACAAAGGGGCTAAATGACATGCCTGAGGTGACACAGGGACAGAGCCAGGATAGTAACCAGAAATCATGCTATTGAAACCTCTCCCCTAACAACTAGATAGAGCTCTCTACTATGGCCCTAATGTACTGTATAGTGAGAATACCTTCTCAGTGTGTGGGGGGGGAGAGGGGGAGAGGGAGGGTCAAAAATGACAAAAGCCTGGTGTTAGACTATGTAAGGGGAGAGCATACTAATGAAAATATTCTTACACCCTCTAATAAATCAATGGGGCACCATCTGCTGGAATACTTTATGCATTTACAGTCATCCTATTTCCAAAAGGGATGCAGCAGAAAATGTGTGGGTTTAGAGATGGGCAATGAGCTTGGTTTAAAGGGAAGCCAAAATGGAGGTATGAGGTGAGACTTGGCAAGACTGGAAATGTAGAGTTTGGTGGGGAACTGAATCAGCAGGGAGGCAGGACTTTAGAGAACAATGAATTGGCTGGAGCAGGTAAATAAGATGCTCCTACCCAGCCTTTCTCTTTGTACAAGAACAAGAAGATCCCCAATGAATTTGGAAAGCAGTACATTTAGAACTGATGAAAGGAAATGTTTCTTACATGATATATAATGATAAACAGGTGAAACTCATTGCCACAGGGGCTGGCAGAAATCAAGATTATAGCGTGATTCAGAAAAAAAGGTTACAACATACCTAGTTACACTAGGTACAGCATTACAGTAGGTAGAGCAAAATGACGTGAGAGGTATAAACCCTTGTGCCATGAAGCATGAGCCCACTGCAAAACTGGCTGAGTCTGAATGAGACCCCCTACTATGGGCTCGTTACATAAGGGGCTTCCAAAGCACCTAGTGTCAGCCACAGAATACAGAGCTAGGGGCACTACTGGGTTGAAAATGTATGGGTATTCCCGTCCTCTCATAGCATCATCTGGCAAGAAGGATATAATAACTGTGTTCATTGTATTTTGATAATGGAGGCATAAGACCTGCCTCAGAGTCTTGTGAGCCTGAGTTCTAACCCTGTGGCGAGGCCCACTCCTTTCTGCATATCTGGATCAGCAATGCTTCCCTCCTTGGGATACTGAAAAATATTAATGGGTTAATATTGGTAAAAAGTTTTGAATAAATAAAAGGTGTTGAGTTTTGTTCAGATTGTAAATCTCAGGTGTATTTACGAATAGAATCATAGGAAAGTAGGGCTGGAAAGGACCTCGGGAGGTCATCTAGTCCAACCCCCTGCTCACAGCAGGATCATCCCCATCTAAACCATCCGACGCAAGTAGTTCTTTGATGCCCTGCCCCCTCCCTTCCAGCTGTATTGTTTCCTCGGTTGCTATAGCTAAACATATTTTTGTTCTACATTTTTCACGTAGTATACACACTCTCATCTAAGTACAGCCAGGTGCCATCAGTGAGGTGTATGCGGCTCATGTTGTGTCAACTCTGATTGGTGTTTTAAAAATCAGAAAGGTGCCTCAGTGCCTAGCAGAACTTGGAATTTCATGACGACCTGGCTGGCACATTCTTCTAGATGATAATATAGATTGCTAGCTGTGGAATGCTGTACAGTGCACTCTGGTTTCCAGTAACATTGATAGGGTATTAGTCCCGCAGTTATATGATTGCAAGTGTTGTATTTTTAACAGAGGCTTTTTCTAGCACCTTTATCAAAAGTTTTATTGTATAACACAAACAGCCCAGAGCCATTGCAGTTTTACAGCCTAAATTCCAACCTCAATGGTGCTGTTTAACCCCGCTGACCTTACTGAAGTTGCCTGGATGGAAATCAAGGTAGGGCTTGGCTCACTGGTTCAGATTCACTCCTGGCATAACTCTATCAGACCTGTGCAAATAAATTGATTTATTTTTTCCAATTTGGTAGCTGCCAAAAAAAAAAAAAAAAAAAAAAAAAAAAAAAAAA